GGAGGCGGGGAAGACTCGACCAGGTGTCCTTGTTCGTCGATGTGCGCCGTTGACTCTCCAGAATGGATGCTGCGTAACAGTTCGATCCATTTACCAGGAGTCCGATTATTGAAGTCTAGTCCACTCAAATTGAATGGACTAGGCCAACGGAACAGAGTGGCCATAAGGGTCCACTCGTTTAAAGTGATTGCCCGACGATTGTGCTCGGCAGCTTTGAGGGCCTCGAGTACGACGATAGGATCCTCTCCTGCATTCTGCAAGTCCAAGATGGACCGCAAGAAGAGTTCCCGCGTAGTGTCAAAAAGGGACCCAATCTGCTTTAATTGGTCGTTGAGGTCGGTGGCTCGTCGTAATGAATTTGCTAAATCTAAATAAAATCGAATGAATCAACTTAAATAAATCAAATTGAATGGACTGAACTTACTATGCGTACTGCTAGTTGAGGCCTTATGGAGCGCATTGAGCGCGTCCATAGCCAGCTCCACATCCAAGGACCCCAAGCACTTCAAACTCCGTGAGGAGCAGGCTTGACATTTGTACCTGGGTAGTGGAGCCGAATTTGCTTCCAAATCCCCTCGAGCAAGCGCCGAAACGCAAGCTTGACTGGGGATGGAAGGCTACATAAAATAAAGCCATATTAGCAATTAAATTAAAATAAGAAATTGGAAGACAACTTACGTCGCGAATTACCCGATTAACCCGCATCAGGTCCTGCATCGTAAAACGAGCATTTTGGGTCTCCAGAATGGAGCCCAGTTCGACGAAGTCAGGGTGGATTGCAAGCAAGGGATTTTCTCGATTTAAAGCCGCGCTATTCTATTAAGTTAATAGAATTAGCATTCTGAATAAATTAAATGGAATGACTACAACTTACCCTGGCATGAGCAAATTTGGGGAAAGGAGTAAAACTCCCAGTTGACTGCTCAGGGAGCCGTAATCGTCCTTGAGAGTCTGCCAGTAGTACTGGTTGGAAGGTACTATCGGGGGAACGCTCAGGAGCAGACTTTGTGGCGACCTTTGTAGCTCGTTTGGGGACGGACACCCGTTTAATCGAACGACGAGGCAGTGAAGCTACAATCGAATTAAATTAATAAAATGAGACGAAAAATGAAGAATAAAAATTTTACCAGATATGGAAGATGTCGTTTTGAGGCGTTTTGGAGGAGGGGCAATATCCTCATCCTCATCCTCATCTTCTTCCTCGTCTTCAGACTCTACTTCATTGGAAGCAGAGTCGTCTTCAGAAACAACTACTTGTCAGGATTTGCCTTTTGCAGGAGTTGGTGCGACTTTCCTCGAACAAGGAGGGAGCCGAACTCTTTTATAAACCATGGCAGTAGGAGTAGGCTGAGAGGCTTTGGAATCTTCGACTACCTTGACGGTAGTTTTGGGTTTAGGCACTTTCCTGTCCATGGAAACCTTGGTAGAAGACGAAGCTCGAGCAGCTGAAACTGCAGACGGGAACTCGCTTAAGAGCTCATTATCTGAGTCTCTTGAATGAGTGGAACGAGGAGAAGAAACTGCAATCAAATTAAATGAATAAAAAATAAGAAATCAATGAACTAAATTAGTACTCACAAAATGTGGAAGCATCAGCCTTAAGGCTCTCTAACTCCCGATTCCTTCTAATTAATCGAGGAGGAGCTACAGGTGCCTTGGGAGCAGGTGTCGAAGGTTTGATCTCCAAAGGTAGTGAAGGAGTACTAATTTTCGATGCGACCGCCGGTGAGACCTTACCACGTAACGAGGCAAAAACATCCAGATCCTTCGAAGGCGCCAGACGCATCATGGCGCTCCCTTCGCGGAATCGAAGACAGAAAGGAATGGGAATAGTGGGGAAGTGTTCAAGGACAGGAGCATCCTACAAATCGAATTAAAATGAATAAAAGGATTGCTTCGGAAACAGGAAAGACTTACCGTAGAAGAAGACCGATGTTCAGGGGGAATTCCCCACTGCTGTAATAAGCTATCGCGAAGAAATGCGGGGAGATGGGCAGATAAGAACTCGGCAGCTAGAAGGATTTGTTCTGCGAACAAAGGACAATTCGCCCTTCCCATCCAGAATTCATGAATATAAAGCTAATAAGAACAATTAAAATAAAATAAAAGCAATGAGAAGTGGAATACGCACCAGATACGGGGCGGCTTCCTCAAATAAATGATATAACTCCATCGGATCGGTTTCAATGGAGTCCTCATCCCCACTTTGTAACGTCCGCACGGCCATTTGGGCTGAACAATATAAGTCCAGGCATGAGGCAACACATAGAGGACGCGAAGTGTTAGAAGGGAAGCAGAAGGAAACCAGAGAACGAGGATACGAAAAGGCTGGAAAGGTAGTAGATCCATCGAAATCCGGGGAATTCTGAGAATCGAGCATAGGGGGGGAGTAATCTCCCTGTTGAAGACGAACAAAAACAGCGCTCTCGAAGAACAAAGGGAGTGTTGATTTAAATGAGAGACCCGCCAGAATTACCTGGGCCTCCATAAGAGAGGTAGGAAGAAGCGTGGTCGAAGCTGCAGCCTGAGTTTGACTCGAAGTGGCAGCCATTTTGAATTGATAAGAAAGAGATGAAGGAAAGAAAAGAAAGGGAAGAAAACGGACTTCAACGAAAATTTGTTGAACCCCGTGCCCCGAACCAAATAAACGTACACACTGAATCAGTGCATACGTCAGAGCAGCTCTCCGTGAAATGGAAGCTCATTCTGTGACTAGATGATGAAAAGATTGTGAATTAAATTTTCGAAATGTGATACGAATACCGAAAAAGTATCCAATTCAAATTGAGCGCTAAACTGTTACGATTCGTAGCAGGCGTGTGAATAAATTGATAAGATGAGCGCTAGAAACCCATTTGAGGGCATCCAAATTGATTGGAGAGCACGGAGAAGTAGAGATCCAAACCCAGTGAATTACATTAAAAGGAGATATAGTCTTGTCGAATCAATCTAATAACAGATTGGGCATCCTTTCCCTATGCAAAGCTACGAATGACCGAGGATGGTCAAATTCTTTAGTTTGGGGGGGATGACACGCCTAAATTTTGGCTAGACGTCTATGCTGTGAATTGTGACATTTTCACGTATAGATTTGTATCAAGAGGACTGTAATTGAGACCCAGATTGACAGTCAAAGTCAATACTGAATCAGTCTAATGAGTTGAAGGGACCATATACCCATACTACCACAAGTTGGTTAGTTTACCCATCCCCGATACTACCTACGGATAGCAGTCTACCTGTTTGTCAAGCAGGATTATACCAGACTCGGACTACATCCGAAGGATGACTATTCACGTATGACATACCAAGGGTATTCTTTTTGGACCTTACACTGGCAGGAGTTTGGAAGAACTTACTCAAGTGACCATGAACCGAGGATTGACTCGAAATGACTTTCTAGAACTCAGGAATTATCAAATACTCCTTCTAGAACGAGATCATGCATTAATCCAAAAGACTGTGATTTAGTCTAATAGACCAATCAAGTTGCATGGTTGAGGAAAATGACTAGAAGAACGATCGAAGTACTGCGAGGCTCCGAAGACATATCAAATGAATGTCAAAGAGTCCTGACTTAGAAAATATTGAAGAACGAAATTAAATGAATACTATGCGTAACTCCCTTGATAGAGTATAGGCACAATGGGTGTCTATTGAAAGAGAGAAGCAATTAGTTTAATCCAGATGAATCAGATTGATAGGATTAGAATCGAGGAGAGCTGATTTGCCTCCGGACGAGGTGACAAACGATCGAAGTAAGTGTTGGACCGCAATGACAGTTGAACACCATTCGAGTCATCCTCCAAAACAATTAAATTAAATGAATATTGAAAGTACCTACCTATGTTTGGAGGTATACTAGAATCTTGGAACCAATATGGACCAAATAAGGACATGTAGATTCAAATTAAATGGTATCTGACTGAGTGTAGAAGTTTCCTTGCGGTTCCGAACGTTTATTGTATTAAATTAATTATACTATGCGACTCTATATTCTGTATGTATAAATAGCGATCCGATGTATCTGGAATACAAGTGATTTTGGGATGACGTTGCAGTGCTAATCCGTAAAAAGGAAAGACACACTCCCGCCAGACTGAAACCTCTTCGCTAGCAGCCATTCGGGCCTGGCACTTGTGAGTATAGGAACGTCGTGTTCTGCTCCTTGTGACTGCGAGAAGTCTATCCAGTTGTTGGGTATTCTTCGAACTTAGGATCAGTCGTTGGTCTTAAGGGCAAATCACGCTGTGTGGTTGTGCCAGCACATAGTTCTAGCCCTCTGTAGGGGTCTGTGTGTTTCGGTTTTAATTTACTTTGATTCAAACCCCCAATTCTTGATATACCCAAATCGATACAAACCAAAGCACAAATCGTGCTAAATCTACCCTGATCAAAGGAATATATCAAATCCTTAGAACGATTCAAATTGATTGATCAAAGCTTCGTACTTAGCTCTCAAAGCTTTGCGGAACCTTTGCCAACGCTACCCCTTGCTATTAAATAAATTTGATAGCAGTGAACTCGCATATTGTGTATTAGATTGGTTGGTTGGAGTGCCCATTAGATTCCTTCCCTTCTCTTTCACACAAAAACGAGGCAAGCTCGTTACCGCTTTTCCATTACAACCTCCAATACTCGAGGACGTTCACCTCTAAGCCCCAGTTCCCGGGACCTCCCTCCCGGGCATATATCTTCTCGGGAGCTTACATGTTCGAGACCCCCTTCAACTACGACCTATTCAATCTTATGTTGATGTCCTAGCAGGTACAACTCCTACTACGCAACGCTACTAGGTTCCCGTTACTTCTAACCCCCCTCCCTGGACCTTATAGGAGCCCCTTCAAGGGTCACATCTCTCAATCCCAGCCACTACTAGGTCATTCCTGTCCTCAGTCGCAGTTCCCATAGCTCCCTTTGAGCTCCAGCCTGCTCCTAGCATGCTACAACATAAACTCACTATACTAAAACCTACCCTAAGACCAATTCTGACCCAGGTCTTACACCATGTGCTTGAAGCATTCCATATCCCCAAGAGTTACGGCAATATCATGACTTGGAGAGAGATGGTTGGACAAAATGCTGCACATCTGAAAGACAGCATTGAAGCATTCCAATACTTTGGTAGAAAAAATAACTGAAGGACCGAATCGGTGGATATCCTGCACCAAGTATATGAGAATATGCAACATAACCTTGGTAATGATCCTCTGAGGATCAATTGCAGCCCAGCAATCCAGTACATTGTCTATGAGGACTTGGAGATCTCCCTGAGTTCAAAAGTATCAAAAATTTTATCCCCAACATTATTTAGTTAACACACCAGAAAGACTTCCATATCAAGTATTTCTGCCATCCACAAGAATGCCCCCAGCTCACCCGTGGCTTTCCATAAGTCAAGAACCAATGGTGTACAGAGATCATGAATGTGAAAAACCGCAAGTTGCTGTATTGTCTTGAAGTGCTTTCCAATAAGCGAATTTTTGTATCTGACAATGTAGTTCCCTCGAGGTCATGCAATGGTCAGGCCATGCAAGCAGGATGACTCAAGCCATGTTGCAAAAATTGATTCCTCCAAAGTGTTCCACCTGCTACTTGTGATATGCCAGTCATACTTATCAATCCCAAGTAAGTAGGTATGAAGTGATTTAACAGGGCTATCTTTGTAGGGATCAATTCCTGAATATGAAAAATCAACATTACTGAGTAGAGCAGGTACAAAGAATGGTACCTCGTGTGAGAAGGAGAATATTGAAGTGGTCTCCAGGACGAATATCCAGACGAGAAGCTTCAAGAATAATTGTAAGCATTACAGTGTTCATAGGTTGTTAGCCATGTACCACTATCTAGTGGAAGCTTGTGGTATGACACTGCCGGTTGTGTCACTACCCAATTCCAGAGTTGTAGCTGGATTTCCTGCATGACTTTTGATACCAGGGCTTTACGCTCATCACCCTTCAGTCCTGCAAGCTGAGGATCACGAGTTTCAGGCCTCTTCAAGCGCATATCCTGCAGTTCCTTAGACTTCAGAAGTAGGGTCTTGATCCAGAATTGGGAAATCTTGTCCTTTATTCCTGAAGCAGTAGAAACCTCGCATATTGCTTCCCGATTTCCTAAGCATGCAAGCCAGACTTGGTACTGTATGCATTGAATAGTTTGTTCAACTGTCCATGCAGTTCCGGTGTGGTACAGAGCTGAGTAGCCTTCAACAGACTCTTTTTCAGCCTCTAATCCTCCAGTCAGATCTTGGCGATAGTTATGATTACCATTGACCCCAATATGTGAGGTGGTTTCCAACTGTTGAGGATTATTGGCTGGAAGAAAATGTGGAATAAGTTGAAATAGAATCTGCTCTTTGAGTTCACAGTCATAAGCTTCTTCCCAGTGGTTTTCATCACTAACATTAATAAATGAACTGGTGATACCATCCAAGAAAGATAAAGATAACTCACAAATCTTCACATAAAGCTACAAACTGCTCAGAAGAAGATGCTATAGCTAATGTTGAGCAATAACGGACAAAATATTCTTGTGCAAGCTTTTGGTGCAGAATGTTTGCATTTGAAATATAGATATTCGTGTGGGCATTGTACTGTTTGCTCACATTTCCAGACACATCATTGCTCCAAGGAATAACTCGCAAATGGAAATCTGGCCGGCCTTTTGTGATTACATGTATAGGATCCTCCGACCCAAGTCCAAACTGTCCAATCACAGTCACTCCCCCTAAGAAACAAGACTTAATATAGATGAGGTTCCGTATCAAGATTTTTGCAGGAATCCGAGCAAGCCTTTGATACCCAAGTGCAACCACACTGAGTGAATTACTTGCCTCTGAAACTGTAGCATCCATCTGCATGACTTCAGCATAAACAGTCTGGTCCACTGTGATCCAACGCAGAACAATGACATAGTCATCATTTGATGTCTGGGCCAATTCCTTTACATAAAAATATTGATGGTGGCTATAAGATGAACTCCAATCTGCCCACATCAGGGAGAGATCATTAATAGGAACCTTGTCCAGCCATTTCTAGCCTGATACATTTCTGAAACTGTGCTGGATATTTTGGGATATACACATATGTGTTTCTGAACCAGAGGATTTGCCCAGTCCTAGGAAGCAATTACGATTCCTGGTGCATGTAATATTATTCAAAAATAATGTTCTTACCATTGCAAATAACTTTATGGGATGGTTCATGTAGAAATGATTTCCAAGTGCAGAAACATGGTGTTTTGGACTCATATTGAAGGTCAAAGTAAGTTTGGCTGGTTTTTTGCGAAGCTTGAAGAAGGAGGGTACATTGGGGGTGCCACATTCTCGCATGACCTATATGATGGCCTTTAAGTGATCATCGGAGAGCCACAATCTTGGCAGGTTATCCAGCATATCCAGCATGAACATCTGTACATGTGTATATAATATATTGGTGATTTAAAAGATATGAGAAACTTACTGTTTTTGAGTCATGCGGGAACCAGTCAAATGATTTTGACTGCATGCTGTGGTAAATTGAGTCTTTGTTGTTCTCTTCATCTTCATCATTTATTTCAGGTTCCATTGCTACAGAAAATAAGGAAAGATTTAGATCATACTTTCTTAGATCTTACACATAGCTTCAATTGCTGCAGATATCTGAGCAACTATAGAGTCTGGGTCATCTAAAGTATCATTTTCAGACTCTTCAAAGCTTCCAGAATTGTCATCAAAGTGTCCAAAAAAAGTATGTCCATCCAATGAAGTCAGATTATAAAACTGATCTTTGATCACCTCATTCTCTTGCTGAATCTTGTGTTCTTCATTTTCACCAGCAGAGAACATAATGCACTGTCCAGAACCATTCATTGACAAGCCAGATGTGGGATCTATCTGCACATTTTGCAATGGACTTATCTGAAATGGAACATTTGATTTATCTGCAAGCATTGGGATGTAATCAAGGGTGCTTTTCACTAGAAGGGTGATCATATTGGATGTCGGGGTTGGTTGAGGCACGTTTGAGCGGGCTGCAAGAGCATGTAGATGCCCTTTTGATTTGAGGTGAGACAGTTTCGAAGTTTTTAACAAAACATAATCCCGAGTCTCATCCAAGTCTGAACAGAGCCGGCAAAGGATCCATGCTTTATCCCCAGGAATTGCTTCGAAATCTTCTTTACATGAGCTTTATTTAGCAAAATGTTAAGCTTAGAGTGCACCTTTAGAATTTTGTGTCAACATTGCTTTGATGAGTGCAGCAATATCAGATTGAACTGCACAAGTCTTTAGACTCAGTGTGGGAATCATGCCACCTAATTTTACTGACAAGTTGGATGACGTGACTTTCACTTCTTGCTTCTGCAATTCAATGCCCTCACATTTTCAGTTAGAGAGCTTGCCACCAAGCTCACCTATTGTTCGGTCTCAACCTATTTTGGAATTTCCTGAATCACCAACAGGTACTCCAGTCCAAACTGGCTCTAATGAAACCCAAGAGCGGAGTAGCCAACCTCCGAATTCTCCTTCTCAAACTCCAGAAACACCAGCCCGTATGCCTATTGCAAATATAACTTCTGATATTATTAATAGAAATGGAAAACGTCCTCTCGAACATGTGCAGCATGCCCGCATATTGACATGCAAATTTTGTTTGAAGAAGGAAGATGAAATCGAGCTCCTTGACTTTGCAAGGGTAAGTTTTTGATTATATCTCTTTTTTCACTCTCATGCCATTGTTAGATACCCACTGGAAAGGAGTTGTCATAAAGTACGCAGCCCCTATCATTTTCCTTTTCTCACTGTCTCGACGCCTTTACTTGTACGATACATCATCCCATCACTGTCAAACCCCCATCAATTACTGATCCATTGATTACTGATCCACCTGACCCATCTTCTCCTTCTACTGGCTTCCGCCACCTTCCTTGTTCCTAAAACTGTACAGTATTACATCGTTGTTTCTCGCAGACCGGATTATGTATATATAGCCAACCCTCCACAGCCTGGTCCCTTATCTTGACCTCTCTGTCATTATCTGGGACCAGGTATGTGCTTACTTATTATTACCTATGACTACGATACTCAATATATCTCTGTCATTATCTGGGACCAGCTTGCCGCCATTCTGCTTAGTCGCTCCGCCTTGTTGCCTTGTCCAGTTGCTCCGCCTCACCGTTCTGCTTAGTCGCTCCGCTTTCCCGCTCCGTTAGTCACTCCGCCTCTGCCGCTTCGTGACAGGAGTCAGATATGTGGCATGCTGCATTATATTTAGATATCAGAGCACATTTTGACTTGATTCATCCCTTGGATGGCCTGGTCACAATTTCTGGAGATACAAATGTTATTTTCTATATGTTATTTTGGTTATACGAGCTCATGGTTATTCATTCATTGCATAGGCTAAAATTGATACTCTCTCTGAAGATCTTTCTCGACCCCACCCACAGTAAATATCTTTCACAGAACGTCCCCTAGACGTTTCGAAATTAATGTCATTTAGGGTTACTGTTTGATATATGTTCCACGGGATGCCTCAAAATAATAATCAAAAAATTATGTTCTCAGGTTTTAAACACATCATCCCTGGTCTGGATTGACATTCCCGTTGGTATTGGGTGACCTCCCGTCGCTATCTAGAATCCTAAATTATTACTAGATATATCAAATACGGAGTGTGAAAAAAATTTAGGAAGATCTAGAATAATCATCCTAAACCATGGGCTAAATTTGTTCTAGATTAGATCTAGCTTTCATCAGACTTTATGGATGACGATGATGATATTGAAGCTCTCATATGTATGCTCATGCAGGATGAGCGGGCTTCATATCAGGCTGAAGAAGACATTTGACATATAGCCACACTTGGGTTGTCATGCTCTGGCTACAACCAGACCCGTCCCAGTACCAGCCACCATCTCCTACCTACCTTTACACCTCCCCAAGTACCACCATACACCTCCCCAATCCCCTCTTTCTCCATGCACCTCCCCAATTATCACCATTCCCCTGACATACCTATCCAAACGTCCTGATGCTCACCACGATACACATACAACACCCTCCTAACCGCCAACCCGTTTAAGTACTAAATCTTGATTACCTTCCTCCCTCAATTAGCTGCCTCATGTTTCCAGATGTTCTCTTGTTCACTTCCCGTACCTATTTAAGTAGCGCCGCAACGTCCAGAAGCCCCAGCTTGGTATATTTTGAATACACACCCTTTACATAGGTCCAGTCCCTGTCCCTTTGTACCTGCTACCTATACGGAATTCTCTTTACTCTCTATTTCTTTATCTCTATTTCTCTCAACTCTAGTCTATCGTCTCTATGATTGTCTATACGATCCAATACACGCTTTTACTTTATGTCTAAGCAATCCGAGTGAGTCCCCGAGCTCCCTCGAACAATACTAAAGCTCCCCAATGCCTAACACCTTGGTGAGCTGACCTCCCCAACACCTAATGCCTTGGTGAGCTGACCTCTCCAAAACCTCCTTGAGTTCCCCAATTGCTCCACAAGCTCTGGGACCTCAGTCTAGGTAACGTCGAAGCTACCTCCTACGTCGAACTACGTGCCGCTTCTTCGTTACCACCCCCAACACTTGAGGACGTCCACCTCTAACCCCCAGTTCCTGGGACCTCCCCTCCCGGGCATATACCTTCTCAGGAGCTTACACACTCAGAACCTATTCTCTCTACGACCTATTCGATCCTACGTTGATGTTCTCGTTACGCCGTTAGTCCCCGGAAATCGAGAGTATAGAAGGGAGGAGCTACGTAGCAGCCAAGTCGGAGCGGCGGTATCGCCGGTAACAAGGAGCGAACCAAAGGACATCTAAGTCCTAAGGTTATAGTAGAGAGTACTTCAAGGTGATGAGCCTGAAGACTTAGAGGAGCACAGAGTTAAGGAGGGAATCTAAGTCGTTAATTAAACTGAGGAACTACAGTAGCGTACAGGCAGTATTTATTTCTATGAAGCAGCGCATCGGTGCAGAGCGCTAGACTAACTACTAGGAGCTATACGTGTAGTACCTGCAGGGTAAAGTAAAAGACAATAAGGAGGGACTAGAACAAAAGGGTATGTGTAGCGAGAAAGAACAATAAGAGTGAGATTACAATAAACGGTGGATCTTCGGAATACCGAGCGGCGGAATGGGGCCCCGAGGCATGGACTTGACATACCTCCCCTACCTACGCCTTAGGGACCTCCCTGGACCTTACAGGAACCCCTTCAAGGGTCACATCTCTCAACCCCAGCCACCACTAGGTCATTCCCGTCCTCGGTCGCGGTTTCTGTAGCTCCCTTTTGAGCTCCAGCCTGCTCCTAGCACGCTACAACGTAAACTCCTCATACCAAAACCTACCCTAAGACCTATTCTGACCCAGGTCTTACATGGGTCTGCTTATATCTACTATGGCACTCTTGAGTCTCGCAGATTATGCGCAGAACGCCGGGCTCTTACCCGCCTGTATCTAACTTGTCCACAACTGATTCCTGATCCTCGTGGAATGACTCCCTGGCAAGTCCTCTACAGAAGTCACAGTGATCATGCTTTCATCACTACAATGGGATTCAATGTTGCTTCCTTCAATAAATTGCTGGAAAGTGGTTTTGAGGAGCAATGGATTTCCCAAGTTATTCCCTGGCGTGATGTTGCATGCTCCTCCACTCCTTGAGTTTATCAACGATCTCTAGATGCCGCAGGTGCTTTAGGCCTTGTACTCCATTATTTGAACTCCACTATACTTGAAACCAGCCTCATGGAAATTTTCGCTCTTATTCTAACCACTGTCTCCCAATGACACGCCTAAATTTTGGCTAGACGTCTATGCTGTGAATTGTGACATTTTCACGTATAGATTTGTATCAAGAGGACTGTAATTGAGACCCAGATTGACAGTCAAAGTCAATACTGAATCAGTCTAATGAGTTGAAGGGACCATATACCCATACTACCACAAGTTGGTTAGTTTACCCATCCCCGATACTACCTACGGATAGCAGTCTACCTGTTTGTCAAGCAGGATTATACCAGACTCGGACTACATCCGAAGGATGACTATTCACGTATGACATACCAAGGGTATTCTTTTTGGACCTTACACTGGCAGGAGTTTGGAAGAACTTACTCAAGTGACCATGAACCGAGGATTGACTCGAAATGACTTTCTAGAACTCAGGAATTATCAAATACTCCTTCTAGAACGAGATCATGCATTAATCCAAAAGACTGTGATTTAGTCTAATAGACCAATCAAGTTGCATGGTTGAGGAAAATGACTAGAAGAACGATCGAAGTACTGCGAGGCTCCGAAGACATATCAAATGAATGTCAAAGAGTCCTGACTTAGAAAATATTGAAGAACGAAATTAAATGAATACTATGCGTAACTCCCTTGATAGAGTATAGGCACAATGGGTGTCTATTGAAAGAGAGAAGCAATTAGTTTAATCCAGATGAATCAGATTGATAGGATTAGAATCGAGGAGAGCTGATTTGCCTCCGGACGAGGTGACAAACGATCGAAGTAAGTGTTGGACCGCAATGACAGTTGAACACCATTCGAGTCATCCTCCAAAACAATTAAATTAAATGAATATTGAAGTACCTACCTATGTTTGGAGGTATACTAGAATCTTGGAACCAATATGGACCAAATAAGGACATGTAGATTCAAATTAAATGGTATCTGACTGAGTGTAGAAGTTTCCTTGCGGTTCCGAACGTTTATTGTATTAAATTAATTATACTATGCGACTCTATATTCTGTATGTATAAATAGCGATCCGATGTATCTGGAATACAAGTGATTTTGGGATGACGTTGCAGTGCTAATCCGTAAAAAGGAAAGACACACTCCCGCCAGACTGAAACCTCTTCGCTAGCAGCCATTCGGGCCTGGCACTTGTGAGTATAGGAACGTCGTGTTCTGCTCCTTGTGACTGCGAGAAGTCTATCCAGTTGTTGGGTATTCTTCGAACTTAGGATCAGTCGTTGGTCTTAAGGGCAAATCACGCTGTGTGGTTGTGCCAGCACATAGTTCTAGCCCTCTGTAGGGGTCTGTGTGTTTCGGTTTTAATTTACTTTGATTCAAACCCCCAATTCTTGATATACCCAAATCGATACAAACCAAAGCACAAATCGTGCTAAATCTACCCTGATCAAAGGAATATATCAAATCCTTAGAACGATTCAAATTGATTGATCAAAGCTTCGTACTTAGCTCTCAAAGCTTTGCGGAACCTTTGCCAACGCTACCCCTTGCTATTAAATAAATTTGATAGCAGTGAACTCGCATATTGTGTATTAGATTGGTTGGTTGGAGTGCCCATTAGATTCCTTCCCTTCTCTTTCACACAAAAACGAGGCAAGCTCGTTATCTGGAGCCCACCGCGAGGGGTGGTTTTGAAGCTACAATTAGCTTGATAAATTAAATTGAACGTTTGTTTGGATTATATTCAATTATTTGGTAGAAGTGTGTTGATCTTTGTGATACCATTTCTGTGAACTGTCAACATTAGTTCATCAGGAAAACCGCGTACTTCGAAGAATTCGGAGAAAGCAGGAGTATTGACACCGGAAGAATATCGTAAAGCAGGAGTTGTATTTGGGAGATCTACGTTCGGCACATCAGCTCGAACATCCCTATTAAACCCTACGAACGAATCCAGTCGTCCATCCTCTTCTCAAATACCGACAGAAGAATCGCGTGGAAGTTTTGTTTCTAGAGGAACAGGATCATCTATATCTCGAGGAAGACTTACATCTTTGCCGAGGAATTTGAAGAAATCTAGTCTCGATCCGAAAGGGAAGAGAAAAGAAATTAATCCGATTGATATTGAAGAAGATATAATTGAATTGATTGCTCCAGAGTCAATTTCAACATCTTCTACGTCGATTGAATCAACTAGATTGATAGATACGTTACATCAGACTATCTCTCAAGCAAGTAATACGATTGAACCAGTCAAAATGACTACCAATAATTATGGAATGCCTGCGTTGTCAGCTGAAGCTAAGGCTGAGATTGATAAAGCCAGTGCGAAACTTCCAAGAAAGTATAAGACAGCACCATTATTTGATATAACTGATCCAAGTCAAATGATACGATGGTTCGAAGCTACTGAAAGCATATTTGAACATGGAGGAATTACATCTGACGAGGCTAAAGTGAGATTAGCTTTAGAATGGACGTCTTATAAAACGAGAGAAGCATTAAGAGTCTTTGATTCGGTGAAGAATCCGAATTGGGATCAATTTAAAAAGGATCTAAAGAATATGTTTCCGCAATCTGTAGGAGACAAAAGAGGATCTAGATTATTGCTTGAACAATTGGTCCATCAATTTAATCCAATTGATGCAGGTGAACAGGAGAAGATGAGAATCTTCAGACTTCTCTTCGATGCTGAAATGAAAAAGCTGATGGACGAACCAAAAATGATCACAAATAGTGATGCAGTAAGATTGTTCTTGGCACCTATGACTCCCGAAGTAAGGAGAGGCGTGCTAGAAACAGTTGTGAAAGATGTATCAGTTACTTCTATGTCAGATAGAGGAAAGGAAGATCCTTTCAAGATTGACGAAGTAATGAATGCGGCTGAGAAGTATATGATTGGGAGTTCATTTGATAACTACTATCAAACACTTTCCATTGCTTCTTCGAGCCCACCAATTAATAACCCTAATTCATTTAGTAGGGGACACATTAATTTGCCGTTTGCTGCAGATGTTCCGAAGACAGATAGGAACTATCTTCAAGCATTGAAACCCAAAGTAGAAGACCAATTTAAGGATCTTCTGGGAATTAAATTAGAAAGTTTGATTCCAAGGGAATTGACGGAAGAACAACAGCAGATGGTTGCCTTGAATAAAGACCTCATGGAGGCAAATATGAAAGAAATTAGAGCTGTGAAGTTATTACAGTCGGACTTCAAAGAAGGAGCAGACATTATGACGCAGTTAACAGCAGTAATGGCACAGATGGCCAAAGAAAATGCTAAAGGAATGATTAATTCGATACCACCGAGTGGTCCCTCGAATCAATCTAATAGATTTGAAAGAAATACGACACCGAGAAGTTCGAATGGAACTCAGTGGGCATGTTTCTTGTGCAAGTCGACAGATCATTTTATGAATGAATGTCCACACTTGCTGGAATTTACGAAAAGAGGTTGGATGATGCCTGAAGGAGGTGACTCGAAGCGTTACAAATTAAGAGACAACGCTAGAATGCCTCAAGACGATCCAAACATACCTCGTTACAAGAAAATTGAACAAATGGCGAAAGACTTGGGATGGGATCGTGCTGAATCCTATTTTGCAAACATGGAAGATGATGAAGATGATAAAGTCATGAATCAGCAGATGAATCCTAATGTCAATCTAGCTGTTTGGATGACAAGAATAGAGGAACTATCAGATAGACTTGGGAATTTGGAAGCACATCGAGAAGATGATGTTCGTGTGTTCAACCAAGATAGTTCAAATGGAAAAAAATAAGTACTCCAATGAAGGAGCAGGATCGGTCCATGAGAACTTTAAGATCCAATGCTGTAGCTCCGGAGGAAAGTGAGAAAGCAAAACGAAATCAATTTAATGATAATACGAAAAGATTAGTATTTGATGGGGTGCATATACCCAAGAAACCAGGTTTAATAACAGGTAAATTGGTTGAAATGACCAATGGAAATCAGAAAACAGTGAGATTTGAGGGTCCAAAGTCCATAGATCGGTCTTTGAAGAAGCCCTCAGTCACGATTGAAGATGATAATGAATCTGATGACGAGGATACTATTAAATTAATTCCTTCGTCAAGACCAACGAATCAAATTAATAGCGAACATAGACCATATGATCATGTTCAACCTAGGACGTATCGTCCTATTCAAATTAATACACCTACGAAGGTACCAAGAGACCAGACGAATCAAATTGATAGTCATGGATATACTCCAGCCTATAAAATTAGGAATGAAGTCTCGAGACCAGGTGTAGAAGAAGATATAGCAAAGAAAATATTCGATGCTAAAGTTGATTTGAGTACAAAAGAATTAGCAGCTTTATCACCTGCTATCAGAAAGATTATTATGCGCAAGATACGCAATAGAAGAGTCCGTCCAAGGACTAAAACGAATAACTACGTATCAACTTTATCCGAAGATGGAGAAACTGAAATTTTGGACGATCCATCTAGGGTACAGATGATTGATACATGCATTAGAATTGAAGATCTTTGGCAGGATCAGGCGGATATGTTTGAAGTCTTGACTGAAAGTCGTAATGACATCCCTGTGGGATCTATAGTGCAGAAAGATATTGTGGAAAGTTTTCTACGAGACCTTTCTATTGATTATGAACGAAGGAACATTGCCATAGTTGCTAATCAAAGCGTGGCATATGAAGATCATAATGATCATCCAGTGGTAGTAGCGAATCAATCCAATGGATTACGTGCTGTTACTCCTGAAATCAATAATAAAGATGAAGAGATTGAAAGTGTATTGGACCAAGGTTCACAAATTGTTGTAATAGACCGATTGATAGCTATAGGTTTAGGAATCACTTGGGATCAAGAATTCACGATCAGAATGCAAGATGCAAGTGGAAAATTAAACCAAACTCTTGGTTTAGCAAGAAATATTCCATTTAAATTTGGTGAAGTTACGGTGTACTTACAACTACATGTACAGAATAAAGCGCCATTTCAAGTGTTATTAGGGAGACCTTTTGACGTCTTGGTGGAAAGTGAAATTAAGACCTTTGGAAACGGAGATTCCGAGATAACAATCAGCGATCCGAACTCACACAAGAGGGTTACTGTAGGAACCTATCCTCGTAGCCAGAAAGGTCAAAACATTCAAATTAATACCTCACGGTATAATGAACCAAAGAATGTTCCACCTGATAATGAAAAATCGACAGGTGAAAATGATTCAAAGGGAAATTTTCATTCCTCGATGAGTTGAGTAGCGACCAAGGAGAGGATGAATACGCTATAAGCTTCCACTTTGATGAAAAGCAAAACATCGTATTAGATGGATACAAACGATGTGAACAAGAAATGTTCTCTAAGAAAGAGCTTTCTGAAGCATATGTTCTTGCATCTAGAGAATATTTGAAGTCTCAAGATGATCAAGCTGAAGAAATAATTGATTGTTACCTTAATCAAAAGACGATTGGGGATAAACAAGTATTCTGTGTATGGAGAGATGGTGTTTTAGGTGAATTTGACGATCAATTGAATAATGACCAATTCAATTTAAATCCTATAAAGTCGTTCTTCCTCCAGAATGGAAGGATCAAGCCTAAACCCATACGAAAGAAAGTTCAGAAGAGGCGATTTGTTGAACCTATACCACAAAATTTTAGTTTGGGGAAGAATTGCGATAAATCTGAATCCACAGAGACCACACAGAATCAATGTAATAACGAAAATACCTCTGAAACGATCAGAGATGATAATTGGAATAAACCTAAAAACTCTCAGAGAACTAAGAAGAGAATAGTTCAATATGAAGTACTCAAAAGAGGGACTGAATCATTTCAAAGATCTCAACCGAGTTTTGAGAAAGTAAGATATGAGTCGAGGCAACAAAAGAAAGGAAAGGCCCAGGACTCGAAGGACAAGAATTAAAACTTCCGGTTCAAACCTCTTCAGATGATGATGTTGAGAACGAGACTTACAATGGATGGTTATACAAGCACTTCATCAGTAATGTCATTGCGTTCTCTCCAACAGGTATGATTTCAGGATATGTGCAGAATGAAATCAAACTTGACATTTGTTCTAGGAGAAATCATTGGTTGTCGTCTGAATGTGCCCGGAAGTTGGCATGATTCTCGTGTTGCACAACCAATTTATCGAAATCTTCTCAGATCTACACCTGATGGGTTCTATCTAGTTACTGATACTGCATTTCCTCGAGGCACATCACAGATAGAGGGTTGTATATGTGCCCCAATCAAGGAAGGAACACGTCTTCCAGCAGATCAGGTCAAACGTGAGGCCCTGCTTGCATACAATAATCAAGCACTATCATTTTGTCAAACATCAGAGTGGGGTATGCGCTTAATCCAAGGAAGTTTTGGCAGGTTACGTGTCCCTCTAGATGTGAATGATGAGAATCGACGTGAAGACTTACTTGAAGTTTGCTTGCGGTTATGCAATTATTGCACATGCACAGTGGGTCATAACCAAATTCAGACTGTATATATGAGTATTTGGAAAGAGGGCAATGTTCAGGAGAAGATCTGGAGGGACTTCGAACACATTGTATTTGGTGAACAACGTCGAAATGACCAAGTCCGTAGGTTTCATATGGAAAGTATTAATAATGTAGGTAATATTTAGCATGTATCAGAAGGAATGAATATCAGGCATTAGAAGCTTTCACGGTCAGGTTGAGAATGTTTGTCACAGTCGCCTTGGGATGCTTCAAATGTCGGGAAAGAATCTTTATGGTGATGCAGGTGACGAGGAGTAACAGAAACAGATACTGAAGCTTGGTGGCCAGAAGATCCAGCCACAGAGCCTGGAGAGACTATCACATCAAGTATTGAGCTTTTATCTCGATGCCGAGCTATTTGAACAAAATATCAACCCAGGATCAAAATAAGAATGAAATACAAGCTTACGAGGTGTACGAGGAGGGTGAATTGACATAGGAAAGCGCGTCTGAACATCAGAATAACACACACAAGCCCCAGGTTCAAGATTTTCTTGGTTATAGTCCTCATACCTGCCTGGGCTTGAAATGTCTTCATCTACGTTGAACGAACGAGAAGAGCATCCTCCTTTGGGATAATGTATTTCCTGCCTCACCCAACGCTCAGGTTCAGGGGCTGGTTCTTGTTTACATACACAAGCATGAGGAGGAACAGCACAAGATGGAGGGCGGAAACTATGAGCAGGAGCTACAGGAGTCTGCATAACAGCAGACATTATCTCCAAACAATCGGCATGCATCTTGGCACAGTCAGCACACTGCTCAGCCTGCATTAAATCCCTCTGCAATTCATCTAGACATTGGCGGAGATTTTCGGTTGTGCGTTGAAGTTCTCGAAGCTGGCTAGACATGGTCAACATGCTGGTGTCTTGTAAAGTACGGGATGACTGCTCCTCAGCCCTTGCTGTCTGTGCAACAGGATGCAAAGCTGCTGAAAGAGTATCTACAAAGTCTCTGCTGCGGGTTACTGATGTCTGTCGTCCAGTAGCACTGGACTGCTTCTTAACAGTTGCCTTTGATGAGGAAGAAACATATTAGTCATGTACAGATAATGTAAGATCGAATATTACCTTTGATTTCTTCCGCATTGGTGCATTCTTGTTATCTGACTCTGAGTCTGAATCATTATCATCGAAATCACCTATATCCGAGTCATCAAGATCACACGTTCCTGCCTTGTCGTTCATCAATTCTTCAATCTCAAGAGCCTCCTCCACATTCCGAGGCAGCTCCGCATCCCCAGTGGGTTTCGTTGTCTTCACCAGCTGTCATATCAATATTAATGTTGTCAGACAAAAGAAACAGGGCCTTACTTGCTTGTATTTGAGTTCGAGTGATTTTGCTAAACGAGTAGGTCATCCTTGTTGCTCCACTTGTTCATTAAACTCATCAGCACATCGGGACCAAGCTTGTTGGCCAAGAGGAAGGTTGCGCCGAAGAATTTCAAATAGAATACCAAGATCCTCGTCTGTATAATTCGAAGAACCACTGGTGCGTCCTGTCAAGTCCATGCCGCGGGCCTCCATTCCGCCGCTCGGGATTCCGAAGATCCATTCCTTATTGTATTCTCTTCCTATTGTTCTTTCTCGCTACACATATCCTTTCGTTCTAGTCTCTCATTATTGTCTTTTACTCTTTCGTTCTAGTCTCTCCTTATTGTCTTTTACTCTACCCTGCAGGTACTACTCGTATAGCTCCTAGTAGTTAGTCTGGTGCTCCGCACCGATGCGCCGTTCCGTAGATATAAATACTGCCTGTACGCTACTGTAGTTCCTCAGTTTAATTATCGACTTAGATTCCCTCCTTAACTCTGTGCTCCTCTAAGTCTTCAGGCTCTCCGCCTTGAAGTACTCTCCACTATAACCTTAGGACTTAGACGTTCTCTGGTTTGCTCCTCGTCACCGGCGATACCGCCGCTCCGACCTGGCTGCTACTTAGCTCCTCTCTCTCTACTCTCGATCTCCGGGGACTAACGGCGTAACGGCAGTGTTGTTAATAACTTCACTACTGTCCCACTCGTCTTCTGCACTTAGACACCTTGTAGCTTTGGCACGGTTACACGGTGTACATGATCTTAACACGTCCCTTCTGAGAACCACGTTTGCATTTCCGAGAAGCAGTGTCATCGTCATCTACATCCGGAGTAGCCTTTGCTTTGCCTTTACCTTTGGAAACAGAATGATGAGCACCGCCTACTTTAGTAGCTGGGCGTGCAATTTCAGACAGTATTTTTGATGGCGGTGGAAAGTCATCCTCGTCATCAGCAGGTAATAGAACACTTGCAGGATTTATTATAGAAGGCCCCACTCCCAGAGTTTGAGTTGCTTGTTGATAGGGCTGCTGATGTGGATGATCAGAACATCAGTTATTAGAGAAATAACATGCCTTACCTGTATCCCAACAAAATTACAATCCATGAGATACATAATACATACTATATCGAGTTGAGCATGGGGAGGTACTGGTGAGAAATTGGACCTCCGAGAAGGATAGGGCTAAATCATGAAAATTTTAGTGGATACTTGCCTCAACAAGGCTGACACAACTCACTAAGTTATTGGTCTGAGCATATTTGGGCAACCAGGTGTTGTGAGGACCACAGACCCATTCACAGCCTTCAGCATTGCGATGAATCTCATCATCATTCCTGTTATTAGTATGCATGAGAAGTAGGGCAACAAAAAGAGAGTCAAGGATTAAGAATAAAAGCATAGAAGTAAGAGTTGATACCAAAGTTCTGCAGATATTTCTCGGACTTTTAAAGAGCTCTCAGTTTGCAATTCAGCCGATTCTTTGCATAGACACGCATCACGACCAATGTAAAGGACAGGGAATGACATATAGGTACTCTCATCCGTAACTCTAAGAGCAAATTCAGGTCAGTTTGCACAGACTACTGCATTTTATTGAATAGCACACCAAGCCCGAGAATGCTCAACAGCAGGATATTCCCTGTCTAGTGACTGCGTAACAATATAAACCTGACGCAATGCCTTTTTTTGAAGTGCAACACAAACTGCGGTACCGGTGCCAAAAGCACTTCGAGGTTCCTGACCTAGAATATGCCTTGTAAACATTCTAAAAACAACATATGTGTGAAGAATACATGAAGACTACCTAAATTTCCAGCAACTTCAGCAAAGATACGCAGCATTTCCAGTCAAAACCTGCAGTGACATGGAAGAAGAAAGGCAAAGCGTCAGATTGTTTCTCACATCGGAGATGGAAATATCATCACAATTGGTCTAGAAATGTGATGGTGCTGTAGTGCGAGTGTCCGTTGTAAGTCTAAACAGTCGTATTGCTTTGTAAGTTCCAAAAACTGGGAGCCTGTCCCGTACATCTATAGTAAATTGTCATGCCCTGTCCCTAAAAGCTCCCCTCATTACCCTTCTAGACATCCCAGAACCGCGTATCAGCTCCTTCACACCTCCCAAATAACCTCCCATGGAACCCCCATGAACCACGGAGCCCTAGCCAACCTCCTGACCAATGCTAACCTCCATCTGAAGCGACAGCTCCGCGACTCGCATATGCCGCCGGACAATCCCCTATCAATTTAGCCTCATGGGTTCCGCACTTCACGCCAGCCCCATTAGATGCTCGTTTATTACAATGTCCCATTACCTATTCAGCCGACCTATATAAGTATCCTCTGTAACATAAGCGTCCCCAGCTTGGTATATTTTGAACACACACCCTTTAACATAGGTCCAGTCCCTGTCCCTTTGTACCTGCTACCTATACGGAATTCTCTTTACTCTCTATTTCTTTATCTCTGTTTCTCTCAACTCTGTCTACCGTCTCTACGATCGTCTATACAATCCAATACACGCTTTAACTTCACGTCTAAGCAACCCGAGTGAGTCTCTGTCACGAAGCGGCAGAGGCGGAGTGACTAGCGGAGCAGGAAGCGGGGTGACTAACCCAGGCAGTGAGGCGGAGCGACTAAGCGGAGCGGAGGCGAACTGGTCCCAGATAATGACAGAGATATATTGAGTATCATAGTCATAGGTAATAATAAGTAAGCACATACCTGGTCCCAGATAATGACAGAGAGGTCAAGATAAGGGACCAGGCTGTGGAGGGTTGGCTATATATACATAATCTAGTCTGCGAGAAACAACGATGTAATACTGTACAGTTCAGGGGCAAGGAAGGAGGCAGAAGCCGATAGAAAGAGAAGGTGGGTCAGGTGGATCAGTAATAGATAGATCAGTAATCGATGGAGATTGACAGCGATGGGATGATGTATTGTACAAGTAAAGGCATCGAGACGGTGAGAAAGGGAAAATGATAGGGGCTGTGTACTTTATGACAGTCTCCGAGCTCCCTCAAACAATACTAAAGCTCCCCAACGCCTACCGCCTTGGTAAGCTAACCTCCCCAAAACCTCCTTGAGCTTCCCAATTGCTCCATAAGCTCTGGGACCTCAGTCTAGGTAACGTCGAAGCTACCTCCTATGTCAAACTACTTGCTGCTTCTCCGTTACCACCTCCAACGCTCGAGGACGTCCACCTCCAACCCCCAGTTCCCGGGACCTCCCCTTCCGGGTGTATACCTTCTCAGGAGCTTATACAGTCAAGACCTATTCTCCATACGACCTATTCGATCTCACGTTGACGTTCTAGCGAGTACAACTCCTCCTACGCAATGCTACTAGGTTCCGTACCTCCACCTCCTCTATTTTACGCCTTAGGGACCTCCCTGAACCTTACAGGAACCCCTTCAAGGGTCACATCTCTCAATCCCAGCCACTACTAGGTCACTCCCGTCCTCGGTCGCAGTTCCCGTAGCTCCCTTCGAGCTCCAGCCTGCTCCTAGCACGCTACAACATAAACTTCTCATACCAAACCTATATTAAGACCTATTCTGACCCAGGTCTTACATAAATATATAGGGACTATTGAGACGTATTGTTGTGCGTGAGGCTGCGACGTGTATGTGAAACCTCAGCTAGTATGTAGGTAGCATGTAAGTCATTTAAATATCTGTAAAACCTGGAAAGCAGCTGACAGCGCTGTCCAGCTGGGAAAGCACTCCCAGCAGTTGATCAATACTGCTGGGAGTGCTTTCAGTGCTGGACAGTGCTCTCCAGCCAGTATCCTTGCTCTGGCGAACATCCATGTTTTGCAGATGAAGAACAATAAGAAGTGAGAATGATCGAAGGAAACAAAGGAATGTCAGTCATAACCTGAATGGCGACGTTGCATATGATGGCGGGCTCGACATCTGGTACATCTGCTCCCTCTACAGCGCTCTAGACAAGGGGGGGTCAGGCCTCTTCCAGAACAAAGTCTGAAAACTGTGGTGCCACCATCAAATTTTGCATCCCTTATACGCGGTGTCGGCTTTGCTCGCTAAACTTCGCTTACAGTGGTTTAGAAGATAATCTGAAATTTCAGAGCCCACGGGAGGTCACCCTGTATCAGGTAAGATTCTGGGAATGTCCCGGATCAAGTGGTGGTGTACCTGGTTATAGGAATATAGGATTTCGGACTCATCGGGAGAAGCACGTGCTCTCTGTACACGTGGGTTACCGAGAATTGTTGGGCACTAATAGCGTCTCTGCCACCGACACTTTGAAATGCCCAGCTCAAGTCCTCGTAAATCTGACTCTGCATATCCTCCCTACGATGGCACTACTGTACGACAATCCGAAATGCGATCTCGCATCAAACGGGACAATGCCGACAACCTGATAGAATGTAGCCCGACGACGTTCTTAAAGACCTATGCCTCGAATAAACAGCTGCGCTCCAAGGATCTAAGGGGCGTTGTCATGAATGCACTGCAGGAGGATAAGCTCTTAGACGATAATGGATGGACTTCTCTCCGGAATATGGGAAAGGGACAGAATGAGAACGAGACCTTTGCATTTCTAAGCCAAGTCGCCGAAACCATCATTTCCGCTGCCACCAAGCACGATACAACCTTAGAGCCTCAGGCCGTTGCCCGCCCGTCTCCTACTGCTACATCTCAACACTCAAAACCGGGATACCGTTTCTATCCTGACTGGACAGCAGTGGTCAATGTGCTCTCTTCCAGCATTCACGTAGATGCAAAGCCTTCAAAACTCGGGGCATCCAGAAAGACCTCTGTCAAAACTTCGGACATTGCATCCATCGCAGAATTCAAGCTCGAAGATACTACCGACAAGATTATTGATGTAAGTTTTGCGATGAATGATACAATCGATCTCAACTAATGAAACTAGAACGAGGACAAAATGGCCGGGGCTGCAAATCAGTTGCTTTGGAATGATCCGTGCCGGGAGCGTGTTCTAGGTTTCACGGTTGAGAAAAAGCGAACCCGATTTTGGGACTTTTCGCGATGTGCAATCGCAGTGTCCGAGCCTTTTGATATCAGCGAAGTGCGTGCCTCAGTTCTGTTAACAACTCCCCTCATCGCTGAGATGGCTTTAGAAACCTGAATTACTCGTCAGATTTCTTCTTTTTGTCATTTTCGCCAAAAAGCATGAAATCGGATTCGATCCTACAGTGCACAGGATCTCCGTGGGCGGCGAAGATTGCTACTGTTATGAAATCGGCAAGTCCTTCTTTCTCACCGTTGGGTCGCCGCTCTCCGAAGAAGCTGCATATCGGATGGTCGGGCGTGCTACTCGAGTTTGGGTTGTTGTAACACTGTTTGCCGATAGTAATGGAGACATTGAAGTCGGAGGAAGTAGGTTTCGACGAGGTGACGCTAGACGTGTCCTGAAGGATGTTTGGTTATATGACGAGGCACTCTGCGAGCGAGAGATCCAAAAAAGTATTAAGGAAAAGCTCAATAAAGAACAGAAAGCCAAGCTCAAGAAACACTTTCTCACCTTCATCATGGAGGAGGTAATCGTCTTTGAAGGGGAGCCGAGGCTTACTCCCAGGCCCCAAAACGGGGAATTCCAGTCTACAGCTTGGCAAACTGATCCCTACTTTCATCAGAACCCCAACCCTTCCACATCTCGTGGAACCAGAGAAAAGCCCCCTCGCACCGAAGTCCAACCTATCATGATGTCCCGGACACACACGCTGCGGAAGCATGTCCGTTCTGTAGTAAAGGAAGAGTGTGAAAGTCTTTATCAACTCACCGATTTCAAGAATGCTTTAATATGCTGGAGAGATATGATCATATGCACGTCGTTTTGCCATTTTTATGAATTGATCAAACTCATGATAATTTCAGGTCTTGATCTTTTCCGTATCGCTGGCTTCATTCATCGTGATTTGAGTGGAGGAAATACACTGTTTTTTGAAGGCAGGGGGATAATATCTGATCTGGAATACTCCAAGAGGTACAATGAAGTGTCGAGTCACGATCCCAAGACGGTATGTCTCAGCCTAGTTTAGTACATCCAATACCTAACGTGGCACCAGGGCACGCCTGATTTCATGGCTGCAGAATACCAGGCGAATTATTTTTTTTTCCTTCCCTCTCCAACAGACACAACCGCAGAACTCATGAAATCACAGCGCCAGTGGTTTTCACCCCATTTTGTACATGACATCGAATCGGTTTACTGGCAATATCTATGGTTCCTCCACAACCGCATCCCTAAAACTTCGGAACCCTCGCAATCAGCATTGGAAGAAATTAAACAACAAGCTAAACTGTATTTTGGTTATGGTATTGACGGAAATCACACCCGCTTCGACGTCATCCGAAACGAAGCAAGCAATGTGTTGCTCCGAGGTGTCTTGGAATCTGTGTATCGCCCTCTCATCCTACAACTTCTCGATCTGTCGATAACTCTGCGTGAAGAATACCGGCGGGTTGTCAGGTCGCTTCCCATGAAAAAGAGCGATGATGCTTGGCGGCTGGGGGACGTGTTCAATGGGGATATTTATGAGAAGTTCCTCGGAAAGCTCCAGGCTGTGTTGGATGCATACCCGGATGGGTACGCGGTCATCACTCTCGATGCTGCCCGTTGAGCGGAAGTGGCGATCTTCAAGTTCTGGCTGCAAACCAAAGAAGTAGCATGTACCCCCAGAACTTTAAACATCTGCTGGTGGGGCTGGAGTAATTGGTATCAACGATCTTCGGCGCATAAACAACGAGCCTATTAGGAAAAAACGGCACCCGGTAAATGATACAAATATCATCAATTTTTAGAAAATCTTTGTTAATGTGACTATCGCTGTCAACATTTGCTAAGTAGAGAGTGTAGAGTCGGAGTGAACAACTCCTTACGTTTAAATTTTGAAGTATCTATCAGCAGTGCAATCCTCTTCCCCGGCGCTTCAGGAATTTAAGCGCCTGAAACACGTGCGGACACTCCGCACACAACTTGAATTGACCTATCGCCTGTTTCTTATATTGTTTCTTCATATTGTCATGATCGTATAACAAATGGGCGAGAAAGTGGTTACTCGACCGTGAACCCAGAAGGATGATGACCTTCTTCGAGATACCGTGGCAAAATATGGCACGCAAGATAACTGGTTGGCAGGCCCTTGCCAGTGAGGTACCAGGTCGAGACAACAAAGCCTATATGGTGCACGTCACCTACCTGCCACTACCTGTGCACCAGCGTGGGAGCAGCCTCAAGGAGTAGATGAATCCTTTGTTCCTCTTGTGAAAAGATAGTAAATAGATAGGGGATGAAATGCTCTATAGGGATTTTGGAACAAGTTGAATTTCAGAAAAATCATGGGGCCGTTTTTGCCGTTTCCTTTTATAGTAATATTATGTAATATTGTAGTTCCCTGATATAGTAATATTTATCTATTGATCTCTACTGATACATTGCCAGTGATTCAGTGAATAAGCTTCTTGAGGTCATCTTCAAGGCCAGTCAATCCAGCCTCTTCCAAATCAGTTCATTACTGACATCTCGGGGTTGTAGGTCTGGTTTGGGCAGTATGCTGAGCCCCAAATGTTGTCGTGCCCGGCCTGCACAAGCACAAGCTGCAGTTTTCTTTGTGTTATGGTAAGTGGACATTATAGCATCAAAAATTTCAACATTCTACATTTATTTCATTCAGTCCACACATAATTCTATGTGTATTATATCGTGTCTGGTAATGAGCTGGCGATTTTGCCGCTTATTCAATATTCCCACGCTAGTGCGCAGGTAGTGGTAGGTAAGTGACGTGCACCATAGAAAAGTGGGTTGTCATAATTTCTATTCAGTCTACCACTGTATGAACATACTCTCTTAGAGATGGCTTCACTGTCTTTCCCCAGCAGTCAAGAAATTGCCTTGGACTGCAGACAAAGATTATCTTCTCCTTTCTTTCCTCAGTGCTCATGGCCCTAAATGGTCATTCATTGCAAGGCAAATTGAAGGTAGGACAGATGATGCATGTTTGAAACAGTATAGTGAAGCACTTCATCCTACCTTGAAGAAAAATGAATGGACCTCCAATGAGGAAGCCAAACTTTTACAGGTATACAGCATAATTGGTGGCAAATGGAAGGAAATAGGATCTCAGCTTCAGCGGAGTAGCCTGGCGTGCCGTAATAGGTACTTTTGCAGTTGAATCAATGGCACTGTATTCTGGCGCAACATATATTTGATCATAGATTCAAAGCCCTTCAATGTAAAAAGAAATCTATTGTGCAAACTTCTTCATTGACTGCACCTGCTCAGAACGAATTTGAATCAGGATCTCCTTATTACCCACCCGGATTGTATCCCTTGTTTCCTCTAGAGGATGTTCCGGCTACTTTCCAGGAGCCAACTTCGGAAGTACTGCTGATGTCTACACTTCCCTCATTTCAATACTCCTCTTCGTCATTGAGTGCCGCTCTTGAGGAACGACTTCCGATCTCACATCACTCTTCATACTTTGAAGCCATGCTCATAGATGCCACATATGATCATACTTATCATCTGCGACCCCTTCACCTTTACTTTCGCTCAAGAATTCAATGAGGGTTTGATGTTGCTGGATGACCTCTCTGACCCCAGTCATTACATAACGGACAGAAAATTTCTATTGACTTTTTATTTTCATCATAACTGGTCTTGTTCCCGATGACAATGGGATCTGCCCAACAGGAACATCTCGAATGGAAGAATATTTGCCTGCTATCAGTACAACCGTCAAATCACCACTATTTTAATTCTCCAATCCTCCAAGCCATAGCTCGTTGTACTGGAAAACAGCCTCAACGTTGTGCTACTTCACATTCTCCTTGTGATCTGTCTCCTCACTTCAATCTGGATGCTGGTGATCACGATGATCAACACCCTCCTGTCGACCCCAACGATCTGGGTGCCAACAACAACAATCCTGACAATGACAATCTGGATGACAACTCCGGTGGTTTACCGCGTGGTGAGCCTGGTGGACCTGGCGGACCCCATACCCCAATCTCTCTTGACATCCCCAACGAGCAATGTGCTATGTTGGAGCTCCTCTCTGGCTTCAAGGGTTTGATTGAAACCCTCAGTACCATTTTAGCCGCTCTCAGCCGACCCTCTGACAGCTCTGAATCCAAGAACAAGGTGAAGGAGCCAGAGGTATTTGACAGTTTGGACCCCTGAAAGCTCAAGACATTCTTTGTCAATCTCGCCCTGGTCTTCAATGACTGTCCAAAGTATTTCACAAACCAGTGGAAGGTGAACTACACCCTATCCTACCTCGGTGACTCAGCCAAAGAATGGTTTGTCCCTGATTTCCTCGATCCGGATCTCAACTTGCTGCCGGCCTGGACATCCTCCTTCAAAGCCCTTGTAAAAGAGCTTCAGGACAATTTCGGCATCTACTATGCCCAGGCGAGGCCGAAGATTCTCTCGGTAACCTGAAAATGAAGGAAACCAAAAACATCCTGAAGAACAACCTTTGTCTCTTCTGCGGTGGTAAGCATCAGATTGCTGACTGCAATAAGTGAAAGGCCTGAGAGTCAAAGGGTCATGCTGCTGAGGTTAAAAAAACCCCTGACGCAATGCCAATCGTTGTGGAAGAGGAATTGGAAAACTAATCTGCAGCTCTTGTTCCCCGGTATGGAACAGGAGCTGCGTTGATCAGGTTCGTACCTTACCTGGGGAGTTATATCTCAACACGTCCGCTCTTTCTTCTATTGAATGACCTCTTGTAATATCATTAACTACTGAATTCCTGTTATTCGATTTGGCTGAACCTATCTCTTGTTAAGATCATGTACACTGTGCAACCGTGCCAGAGGCCACAAGGTGTCTAAAGGTGGAATGCCAAATGGGACAGTGGTGAAGTTATTAACAACACTGCCATTACACCACTAGTCCTCAGAGATCAAGAGTATAGAAGAGAGGAGCCAGTAGCAGCCAAGTTGGAGCAGCGGTAACCCCGGTGACGAGGAGTGAACCACAGAACGTATAAGTACTAAGGTTAGAGTAGAGAGTACTTCGAGGCAATGAGCCTGAAGCCTTAGAGAAGAGCTAAGTTGGAAAGGAGATCTAAGTTGATAATTAAACTGAGGAACTACAGTAGCGTACAGGCAGTATTTATATCTACGGATTGGCGCATCGGTGTGGAGCGCTGGACTAACTACTAGGAGCTATACGTGTAGTACCTGCAGGGTAGAGTAAAAGACAATAAGGAGAGACTAGAATGAAAGGGTATGTGTAGCAAGAAAGAACAATAAGAATGAGATTACAATAAAAGGTAGATCTTTGGAATGCCAAGTGGCGGAATGGGGCACTGAGGCATGGACTTGACATCTCTGCTCTTCTCAAATTTCCTACTCTTGTTCATTCTGGCTCTACTGACTCTTTCATCGATACTCGTTATGTTTCTCAAAATTCTATTCCTACCACCAAAATCTCTCCAGTTAATCTTCATCTCTTTGATGGTTCATTATCTTCTAAACCCATTACCAATATGGTGAACATCGCTGTTTGGTTCCCTTCTGGCGAGCTGCTTCTATTGCCCTTTTATGTCACTCATTTAGATTCATCTTGTAAAGCAGTATTAGGTTACAGTTTCTTATCCCGCTACAATCTGTTGATTGACTGGGCATCTCAAGACATTACGTTCTGTAACACTTCACTTCCTGATTCTCCACAGACGTCTGTACCTTCTGCCACCAACACTGTTGATGCAAAGGTCGCTGTTCCGCTACCAGACCCTTTGCCATCAGTTTCACTGACAATTCTGGAAACCCCTCCTGGGGATTCACTTCACTCTCACTCCTGCTCTCGGATGTTACAGGCTAAGCCCCTCTTGTCTAAATTCTCCTTTGAACTTATCTATTCCTATCCTACGGTCTCTCAATTCGCTGCTCAACTGGAAACTCCCGAGGTCGACATTGCACTGGTCAGTGCTGCCATCTTTAACAGGGCTTGCAAGGACACTGGTATAGAGCCAATTCTCCTTTGTGCTATCCACTCAGAGGTTGCGGCCCGTGCTGCCAACGACTCCTACTGTCCCTCCACTTCATCATTCTATTCCAGAAGAGTACGCCGAGTTTTCAGACGTCTTCGACAAGATTGCTGCAGATTCATTACCTGAACACAGACCCTATGACTTGAAGATTGATTTGAAAGAAGGCGCTTCACCGCCTCTCGGTCGAATTTATCCTCTGTCTGAAAAGGAGTTAGTCACCCTTAAAGACTTTATTGACAAACAGCTGGCCACTGGTGCCATCACCCCATCTTCCTCGCCTCACTGTCATGCCTCACCCCGAATTCCATAGCCCATAACCTCCTTAAACATAGTTCCCAACCTCCTCAGCCCCCTTACCTCTTCAGCCCCCTTCCCTGAATCCCTGAAAACACTCCCAATGTCCCGCAGACCTCCTTACTGCTAGAACAACCTCCATGATCCTTAGTTCCCCTCAATGCAACCGAACCACTCCACGACAGGGTCCTGGAACCCCGCACATGGACCCAGGTCTTACACTCACAGTGCTCCGGTACTCTTTGTTTCCAGGAAGAATGGGAAACTTTGGCTTTGTGTGGACTTCCGTGGTCTCAACTGCATCACCAAGAAGAACCGCTATCCTTTGCCGTTGATCTCGGACCTCCTCAACGCTCCGAAATGAGCTAAAATCTATACCAAATTGGACCTCGCTCACGCTTATCATCTAGTCAGAATTGCAGAAGGTGACAAATGGAAAACCACCTTTCGGACCTGATACGGCTCCTACAAATGGAAGGTTATGCCTTTCAGTCTCAGTAACGCACCTGCTGCTTTCCAACATTTTGTTAATGACATCTTCTCTGACATGCTAGATGTTTGTGTCTGTTAAGATCATGTACACCGTGTAACCGTGCCAGGGCCACAAGGTGTCTAAGTGCGGAAGATGAGTGGGACAGTAGTGAAGTTATTAACAACACCGCCGTTACGCCATTAGTCCCCGGAGATCGAGAGTATAGAGAGAGGAGCTAAGTAGCAGCCAAGTCGGAGCGGCGGTATCGCCGATGACGAGGAGCGGACCAGAGGACGTTCAAGTCCTAAGGTCGAGTAGAACGTACTTCAAGGCGTTGAGCCTGAAGACTTAGAGAAGAGCTAAGTTGAGAAGGGAGATCTAAGTTGATCTAAGTTGATAATTAAACTGAGGAACTACAGTAGCGTACAGGCAGTATTTATATCTATGGAACGGCGCAGCAGTGCGGAGCGCCAGACTAACTACTAGGAGCTATACGAGTAGTACCTGCAGGGTAGAGTAAAAGACAATAAGGAGAGACTAGAACGAAAGGGTATGTGTAGCGAGAAAGAACAATAAGAAGAGATTACAATAAAGGGCAGATCTTCGGAGTACCGAGCAGCGGAATGGAGGCCCGAGGCATGGACTTGACAGTATCCCCCTCTTAGGCTTGAGCCCTCGAAAGCCGTTAGTATCGGGAAATACTATTAGTCACCAGAGAAAAAATTCTATATCCCGTTAGCATCGGCAATTATCCTTTTTAGTCATCAGGAAAATTTTGTTGGTTCACCGTAAGCCGAGTACAATTCGAAGGAAAATTTTCGCTGGTCCGTGCGCAGTTTTGCCGTATAAAAGGCCCAAGGTTTTGCCAACAAGACCCAAGTTCCAAAACTTCTAAGTCCACAAACATGACTACTAGTCGCACCACCACCACTACCGTTTCTTCAACCGCCGGCCCTTCGAGGTCACGACCCGTACCACCACCACCTCCTACCGACCCCGCCGTTCAAGAGGATGAAGGCCTGGAAAACAAAGACGAGGACGATATAATTAGGAGGGCGCAGGAGAGAGTGGAGAAGATTAAGGCTAGGAAGGCGGCTGCAGTGGCGAAGAAGGCCGCGGAAGAACAGGCTGCAAGGGCAGCAGCAGCGAGAGAGAGAGCGGCGCAGGAGGCGCAAGAGCGGGCCCTTCGGGCTCGTCAGCAAGAGGAGGAGGTTGTGGAGCGGAGAAGGCTCTTGGCCAAGGCGGCAACCACCAGAAGTCAAAGAGGAACTTCTCCAAGTGAGATGTCCGCTTCTCCTAGGAGGCCGGTGGTAGAGATTCGGCGGAAGTTGACGAGCAAGGGGAAGGGAAAGGCCAAGGCTCAGGTGAGTTTTTGAGTTCCGTTGGTACCAATATCCTTATTTAC